GATTTCTTAGGCTGGACAAATCTGTCGGATATTGAAGCCAAGTGGCCCCAGCCTCCAGTCCATTGCCCTGACTTTGATCACCATGGTCACCTCTCTAACCCCCCCTGGGACCCGTTCTCCTCGTCTGCAAACCCTTATGGAAGGCTGTGGCCTGCAGGGCGATGTGCAAATGTCCATTCTGGCTTTTGTGACCATCCCAGCCAGGGCCCAGCCTCTCTCACAGCCCCACAGCCCTCCCTCCTTGGACATGTTGCTGCTCTGCCTTCTGCCTTTGTTCAGCCTTCTGCTCCTTCTGGAAGGTCCTCGCTGCTCTCCTCAATGGGCCACAGGCGTCCTATAGATTCAGTTCCAAGATCCCCTCTTCTGAGAAACCCTTTGTAGAGGCTACTTTTTAGGCAACAGGCTTGGGCAAGGTAAAAGGGCCCACGGTGACCACCCAAACAGGCTCCTTAGAGAACCCTAGGGGGGTTGTACCAAAAAAGGAAAATTCCATACATTCCCACACCGACCCACCGCTGACCCCGCTGCACCAGGCATGTCCCTGCAGGGCTCCCAGTGTCCTCTGCGCTCACTGGCCTGTCTCCCCTGCGGAGGGTGGGAGCTCCTCCAACAGGAGAACCGAGCCCTTTGTAGCTTTGGGCCTCGGCAGGATTCTCGCCCTCGATACTTCTGACACCAAATGTGGGGGGGCGGGGGCGGGGGGGCGGTTCCCCACCAACAAACCGATTCTCCAACTCTCCAGACACCGTGGGGTGTCCTGCAATTCAGTTCAGTTCTGACGCGAACTACTGGGAGCTGGCATCTGTCCCGGAAGACTGTCCCCACTTGAGACACCAGTCGCAAGCATGGGGTGCCCAGGGCACCCAAACTTCTGTCTGACTTGGCTGTTGGCTACAAAGTCAGGGGTTCCTATGACACCCATCCCTTCAGTTTCCGGAATTTGCTAGAATGGCTTACAGAACTCAAGAAAACACCATCACTGGCTTATCGTAAAGGATGCAGATGAACAGGGTCCAAGGTCCCAAACAAAGGAGCTTCTGTCCCCATGGAGTTAGGGTGCACAACCCTTCCAGCAAGTAGATGTGTTTGCCAACCCAGAAGCTCTCCGAACTCTTTCACTTAGGGGTTTCTATGGAGGCATACCGGCATGATTAATTAACTCATCGGCCATTGTGGTTAAGTCAATCTCCAGCCCCTCTTCTCTGCAGAGGTGGGGCGTGGTGTTCAAAGTCCCAACCTCTTAATTTCACACTTGCTTCCTTCGGCACAACCAGCCCCCATCCCGAAGCTATCTTGGGGCCCAGTAGGAGTCACTGGATTAGCATAAACCCTGGTGTGACTGAAAGGGGCTTGTTATAAACAAAAACCGCTCCTCTCACCCGTATTGCCCAGGAAATTCCAAGAATTTCAGAAGCTCTCACGTCGGGAACTGGGACAGACCTATGTTAAATAACAAAATTCAACCAAGTAAATTTGAGAATCTAATTGGCTTTATTAAATGATCCATGGGGCCGGGAAGCAATCCATCTAGCAAGGAGAGAGGCACTCAGGAAAGTTGTACATAATGGAAGGTTTTTATAGACGGAGGGTGGGGGTGAGAACGTTATTAGCAAAACAAAGTAAATAAATAAAGATTGTTTCAGAGAAGGTTGTTTGCCGGGGGAAAAGCAAGAGCCTTATTATGCGGATTGCCTTATCTTTCTTTGAGGGAGGGGAATGGGGAGGACCCTAGGTGACAGATTCATTGGGGCCGACGGAAAGAAGTATTTCCTGACTGACCAGTTAAGGCCACCTTTCTGGAGGGGAGATTGAAACTGCGCTGAGTTTGGGGATTAAGCTGCGGTTTGGGAACTCAGTCTAAATGGCCATCTGGGACCTGTGGCTTTCTTTTCTTATATCACGATATCACAGGTCCTCATTGCAGGGCCTGGCACGCAGTAGGCCTATTGAATGAAGGAAGCACGGTGTTCTGAGTCTCACCTTGCCCCAAGGGCACCTAGCACTGAGCCCACCCTGTGCCTTGGGGGGCATCCATCACAGGCCCGCAGGGGCTTTAGAACCGCGGCTGCATCTTGGTTTCCCATATGCCCAGCTCTCCTTGACCCTCAGGCATGTGAGGGGTCAGGACACAGTGGACATAAGGGGCATGGCAGAGAGAGAGGGTACGTCTGGTAAAGGTGGCCCCCTCGGCCTGTCACTCAGACACAAATGTCTGGGGGCTGGTGGGAGGGCCTGGCAGACGATCCTGAGGACCGTGTGCCCTCCAGCCCAGCCACCCCTCTGCCTCAGCCAGACAAGGAGTCTCCGGAAGGCGGTGACAAGGCAAAGCGCCATGGCGCTGGCCTGGCATACAGAAGGCCGGACACCATGCGCAAAAGCTGGGTGGCTGGGCCAGCAGAGGGATCAGGGAGGAGTGAGGCGCTGCAGTTAGAGGGGGCGCCCTCTGCGGGAGTCTGGGGGCAAGGTGGAGCTCTTCTGGGTCCCGGGGTGCAGGCTTTGGAGACGATCGGGTCCCCGGGTCCGGCTCCTGCGGGGGGG